TGAAATCATCTTTGAAAAGTTTAAAAAAGTTAGTTAATCATGTTAACTTGGAGGTTACAAATATTTAAGATTATGAATACCAAGTACCAAGAGGATGTGAAGGCTTAGAAGCTAAATGAATTGAAGAAAAAAAGTTTCTTCGAAAGTCGACAAGTTGGAATGTTATAACATGTACCTTTGGGATGAGACTTGGGTACTTAACATTATAAGAAGATTATGTTATGAGTTATTTTAGTCGTATGATAGTCGTGTGTTATGTTTTGAAGTCAAGCGATTTGTGGAACAAAAGTTGGAATAGGTCATCACAAGTTCCATTCATAAATGTGTTGAAACTTAGGACAAATGTAGCTGAGATTTTATCCCAATATACTTTGAATTAAGAGATGATATATCTATCAAATATAAAATCTACAAGTCTAGTTTCTAATGCATTTAACCGTTCGTCGATACGATATCGGAGTAAAGAAATATTCGCGTTTTTGCGAGACTGCACAAGCAGCTCCCATGGGACTCACAAAGTCGGTGTAAAACTCCAGCTTGTATTTAAGTTCATTCTTAATCATTTCCACTCATTTTTATCTTCCAAAAAAGTTCCTAAACCCTATTAAATTCTCTCCAAGGATTCCTCCATGATTCTATGGTAAAAATCTAATATAAAAACATAAATCCAATACTAGAAATCGCGTGGTGCTTGCTAGATCGTTGTTCTTCATCTTATGGCTGTATTGGAGGGTTCTTCAAAGTGAAGTAACCTCAAGTTTCATATTTTTCTTGTTTATTAAGGTAATAATCAGTCCCTCCTTCTTATATATTGGATTTTCAAGGATAACTACAAGTGTTTACACACCAACTTGAACCCTAAAAGTTGATTCAAGAAGAGAATACAACACCTATAGTGTTGTGGTGTCATTAAGGATAATTGTGGGCTGTGCTTGAATGAAATTTCAAGTTGTTGCTACTTTATAAGGTGAGTATTATAGCCTACTAATTGTTCTTAATCTTTCTTGTATGTTGGTTAAGTTGTTAGGATGATAAACTACAAGATAATACTTGAATTAACTTGAGATGTTGTTGTTCTTGATGGATTGATTAGAAAGTTGCTCTTATGAACTTTAAGTGGCTGGAAATTATGGAAAATAAGTTGTCTATAATATTGTTAGTTTGATTATGTTGGTTTATATGTCAATCTTGTTGAAGAAATTGGTAACTAGAAAAGTAAATGGCTATAAAGCACTTGGAAGTTGTCAACAGTGATATTATCTTATATTGGGCTATTTTGGGTAACTTAAAAATTTAGTACAAGGTTGGAAATCCTTTAAAGGGTATTGGTTATTATAATGAATATATTACTAAGTTCAAGAATGAATGTAATGGGGTTGAAAGGTGCTGAAGGGACTGAATCCGAGCTTGCCGCTCGTCGTGATATGTTAATGACTTGTTAATGAAATATTTTGTACCCTATTATTGATGATGTTCTTATTGTATTGCTCTGGTTGTTGTTTTTGTTGGTATATAGTATTGGAGGAGGCCTTTGTTACAAGGGAGATGCTGCCCAAATTTACATAAAACAAGCTACTAGCTTAAGTTACAGACTTAGCCTTTACTCAGCACTGATTTTGAATCTCCTTATGCTATGGTAGACTGAGTTGAGTTGTTTGAAGAGTTGCTTGGAAGCTATTAAGTACTCAACGAGGTTAACTTATGTTAAGGCTAAAACTTTTCTTCATTTTGGCATGATCTTGTAACTACATGTGTTTGATAAGTAGACATAAAGAGAAGTTCATATTCCTGAATTTATGTACATTATCCTAGTCTCATAAGTTATCATATTCTCCCTTATCGGGACTTCATATTCAGTTAGTATTGTCTTCTTTTAGCCAAGTGAGCAGAGAGTCTATATATGTACAATATTACAGTATTTTCACCACCATCGAGTTATAATCGATGGGCTTGGGCAACTCTGATCAGATGGTAAGTTATATACCGAACCTACTGTGGTCGAGCGCTTATGTGCGAGCCCAGAATTGCCGAGATACAAAGCCTAGTATGGCCGAGCTCTTATGAACGAGCCTACTACGGCAGAGCAATTTTACATACCGAGCCTTACAGGGTCGGACAACTATTTTACTTACTATATTGAGAAAGTTGAGTCAGTATCAACAGGTAAGCATATCTTCAGATTATCTTTGACTCCCAGTTACTTTTAGTTATTATATTATCAGTTCAGTTTCAGCTTTCAGTTATTCTGTTGCATTACATACTCGATACATTATTTAGTACTGATGTCCCTTTTGCTGGGGACGTTGTATTTTATGCCTGCAGATCTTGATTGACAGTTGGACAAACCCTCCTAGCAGACATAGTCAAACATCAACTTGGTTGGTAAGCTCCACTTCCTTAGAGTTACCAGGTCTAGACCTTGGAGTCCATTTTATCTATACATGTTTGATGGGTAGGTCGAGGCCCTGTCCCGACCATGGTATAGTTCATTTATCTCTATAGGCTTGTAGACGAGTCCTGTATATTTTGTATATTAGTAGATGTTCATGGCGGTTTCATCGGCCTGCACACACTACAACAAATTTGGCCTAAGGCCATAGTAACTTTAGCCAACATTTGGAAAGTGTTGTCAAAATCGTCTATGGGAACGCTTATAAAGGGTGGCCTTTGTTAATCACTTTTGGCTACGAAGTTTAGACCACACATGTTAAGAGTTCTCTTTGAATATATAGACAATGCATTATTGGGACTTCGCTAAGGATTTTGGATTGGTGATTGCGAACTCTAGCTTTCAGAAGAGGGAGGGGCATTCGGTTACTTTCCAAAATGCGGTGGCAAAGACCCAGATTGATTATCTCCTCCTCAGGAGGTGTGACAGAGGGTTGTGCAAGGATTGCAAGGTGATTTCGGGTGAGATACTCGCGACGAAGCATAGGCTCTTGGTGGTGGACGTTGGTATTATGTTAAAGAGGAGGAAAAGGTCTACTCGAGGAAGACCGAGAATCAGGTGGGGAGCCTTAACTAAGGATAAAGCCCAAGCGTTGGAGGGGCGGTTGTCGGCTATGGGAGCTTGGAGGAGCAATGGTGACGCGAGCACTATGTGGTCAGCGACAGCAGACTGTATTAGGGAGGCTGCGAGAGAGGTGCTAGGGGTCTCGACGGGCGTCTCTGGTGGGCACGAAGGAGACTGGTGGTGGAATGAAGTGGTCCATGGTAAAGTGGAAGCAAATAAGGCGGCATACATGAAGTTAGTTGGGAGCATAGGTGAAGAGGAGAGGCGAGTGTGCATGGAGAGGTATAAGGCAGCTAGGAAGGAGGCTAAGCTGGCGGTCACAGAGGCTAAGACTGTGGCTTATGGTCGTATGTACGAGGAATTAGGGAAAAAAGGTGGGGAGAAGAAGTTATTCCGGCTGGCCAAGTTGAGAGAGAGGAAGG